CACTTCAATTTTGTTTTTTAGAAATACTGAAATACTAAAATGTGCTATAAACAATGAGAGATATACGTATTAATAGCATACCAGGATCATAATCATTTTCAATGTTGCTTTAGTTTGTGCTGGATCAAGATGTCTATGAAATAAAATATCTTTGAAGATAACTTATGGAAAACCTAATGCAATTGTTACATGAGAAAGATATCTTTAATTTAAATCTATCTGAATATCTGACAAATACACCTCAAGCTGAAATTGGAAAATAAAATTTTATTTTCAATAAGTGTACATAGATTTAAACAGAAATTATTGGGATACTTCCTTTTAGTCAATATTTCTTCAAAATATCAAAGGAAAGAAAAGCTCGTCCTAAGTCCCCAGTATTTTTATCCTTGGTGATGACTAATTGTACTTTCCACTCAACTTTTAATCTGTTAATAATTTATGCAGCTGACACAAACACTTATATTGGCTTGTTTTTCCAGTACCCTCATTATCAGCTTCAACATGTAGAAATGAACTTAATTTTGTTAAACGGTTATTTCCCAGTAAGTTAGGGGGAGAGATAAATATGTTTTGTTAAATTATTCCACTTTAAAAAAAATTATTAAAATAAATTAAGGGAATCAGTTACTGAATTCCACTTTCTTGGTTTCCTCCAAACAAAATAACATGTGCTTGTATGAAAATTCAGTTTGCCCTAAGAAACTTAAGAGCAATGGCTCAGTTCAGGAAGCATAAAGGACAATCTGTCATGTAGGTTACTCATTGCGAAAAATAAAATGAACAGTAAGAGGTTACGGGAATTGCAAGAGTACTCTCATCAACCTGAACTGGGATCTGCTTCCAAAGTGACACTGATATCAAATGTTCGGTTTATGAAATTGTCACTGCATTCTAAAATTGACTGTTTTTCTAATACAAATTGAAACCTTCTTGCTATGATTAACCATTCAACTCACTATCTAAAGAGACTTTCACTTATAGTTAGGAAAGTACATTAAATATCAGTGACACTACTGGTAATTTTCTTATAAAAACTAATTTGTGACAGAACATTAAAAGTTCACCCCCTGACCTTGGAAAATAAAAGTTAACTTTTGAGACCATGACAGAAGAATCCATCCCATAGGATCGCTGAATAACAATTGATATTGCTGTGAAGGGTGAAGGAATATTAAATATGCGGTCAATCATTTTCATTTATGTGGCATCTTACCTAAAGCTTTATACACGATAAACATTTTTCCAATACTTCAAACCAACATATGGGATTACCTTCTAGGACTATTATTAACCCAATTCCGCAGAGGAAGAAAAATATGCAAATATTATATTAAACAAATGATATCTTCCAAAAATATGCAATCCAGGTTGCACTATAGCCACGAAAGAAAACTCACAAGTCTCTTAATTTTAAAGTATCTTTTAACAATTTTATGATAATACAGGTAGGTAAGAGCTTTGAAAAGTGGTCTGGAAAACTTTGAGTTTCTCTGGATTGCTATAGAAAAGTTACTCGGCAAGTTGTGTCTTCAAGCACCAGAGGTCAGAAAGGTTTCCCTTTTGCGTGGCTGCTCAAATTATCCCCACTGAAATCAGCGCCTCCTGCGCGCACCCTTGCATACCACCTTCAGGCACGTAGCTAACTAACACTACCCGAGCTACTGTTGCTTCGCTGTATTTGTCTCTACTAATACCCACTTGGTAGAGGGATTTGTTTTCCACTTTTGAAACGTAGATTCTGTAATTAGCTTACACCACATGAACATGTACTATTAAGGTTCGTCTTTCTTCCAATGTGAGCATCTATTTACTTACAATTCTCTGACACATTCCTTAAAATCTGAATTCCTAGATAATGTCTTTCTCCCCAGTAAAGGGAAAATTTTACCATTTGAAATAGGGTGCTATTTAAAGAACGCTGAAATAAGAATGTTAGAAAAAAAAAAAAAAAAAAAAAAAAAACTTTTTTTTTCTCATGCGCTCTGCCAAGTTCCACTGCAAGTTCCAAATATTGTGCAATGATTTGGAAATCCAGTTAACGATGGGAAAAATCGAGCCACTCACAGTCGGGAACTTGCAAGAGAAAAGTCAAGAAGCGGCACCCGCACGCACGCCTGCCCAACCGACGCTGCATCCCTGGGCGCACGCCCCTCCCTCCCCAGCGCTGGGATGGAAGGTCACGCTTCACAATCGATTTCACAGCCACTTGTCCTTTTTTATCAACCTTCTGGTAAACTAGTTTAGGACCTTGGAGAGCTTAGAGCTGCTGGCTGTATATGCATTGCTCTCGGATAAACACGTGTCCCCCAAATATCAGGACCAAAGCTTCACCGCCGAATTTGGCCGCGGGAAGCCACAAAGGGCAACACATTCCCATATTCCCCGCTGCCACCCTCCAGTGCGAGAATCTCCCCTGGCATCTCTCCGCCCCCTTTCCAGGCCGGCGCGCACTCTCGAGGGTGCCTGGTGCGCCCTTACCTGAGCTGTCGCTTTTCCTCTTGCCACCGCTTCTCTTCTCTGCCTCCGCAGGTGACAGTGCCTGGCGGCCGTAGTCCCCCGGCGCGCAAGAGGCCCCAGTCGGGGTGCTGGAGCCCAAGCTGGAAGAGTTGGAACACAGGACCGGAGGGCTGCTCCCCAACTCTGGGGGCCCTCCGGAGTCGGGCTGGAGGCAAAGGCTGTGTCGAGCCGCACTCGGTGGGGAAGACATCTGCGGGAGGTGCCAGTTGGTTTGCAGAGCCTGGTGCTGCTGCTGCTGATGGTGGTGATGGTGGTGGTGGTGGTGGTGGTGGTGCCCCCTGTGATGCTGGCTGGCAAACATGCCCTCTTCGTTGGGGTATCCCGCGATTATGCAAGATGAGGAAGAAGTAGAGAGCTCGGGGTAAGACATATGGTCAGATCTTCCATGGAGGGCGAGAGAAGATTGGGAGAACGGGTGCAAGCCTTGCGCCGTGGCGTGAGGGCTGCGCAAGCAGCCAAAGAGCGGGTGTTCCATAGCATGCAAGTTTCGGGTTCCAGGCAGAAGACTTCAGGACGGTTCCAAAGGCCACCACCCTCTGTCACTTTTCACTGGAAACCGTATGATTTTTTTTACCCTCCCAAAGCAATAGCCGTGCACTTCTGCAGAGCTCGGATAATCCCGGTTCTGAGCCCCAGCGGCCAGTCTCCTTTGCATATGAACAGTCGGACCTGGAAGAGCTTCCCTGAACTACTCAGATGTCAAGAGTGGGAGAGGTTGAAGCCAAAAGAAGGTGGTCCCAGAGAACTGCTTTCAGGGGGAAATGGCTCTGAGAGGTTATAAATAGAGTGTAACGTGAGCTGGGGGCCGGCTTAGGAGCCCAGAGTTGACCACATGCAAACTCCCTCCAAAACTCCCGCTCAGTTTGCGCCACGCGCTCCCAGTTCCACTTCCTATCGCCTGCTGGACAGACGCAGAGCGTCCACGCCCGCCCAGCACTGCCGGCTGCCAGGGCTACAAGCGGCACGCCAGTGCCTAAGTCCCGCCCGGGAGGGCAGCAGCTCTGCCCTCCAGACTCTGGAGGCCTGGGCGCGGCGCACACCACCCCCAACCCAGCACCCTGATTCCTACCTACTCACTTTCCTCTCCGGGAAACGTGATTTGTCAGTGTCATTTGTGAACTGTCACCTGCAGAAAAGCTAGGGATATGCCTAGCCTTTCAGGAACCCAAAAGAAGTAATAGGGTTAAACGAAAAGATCAGAGCTAGTTAGGCGCATCCTCGAAGTTTTTCAAACTTCGCATCTTCCAGTGCCCTGGGCGCCGCAGCGCGCCTAGGTTTTCACAGCTGGTTTCTGTGGGTAGATTGTTAATGGGCTGGGACGCCAGATCTGAGGTTGTGGGGATGAGTACCATGGCCTGGAAAAGGCGGTTCTCAGTGCGGAACGAAGAGGGACCCGGTAGGGTGGGTGGGAGGAAGGCGTGAGTCTGAAAGGGTTGCAGATGCCTGCTCCCTGGCATCCTCATGTGCGATGCCAGGTGGAGTCTCCCTTCCCCCTCTTTCCTGGTCCCGCTCAATTTCCTAGCCACTTGTCCACCAAGAAGAAATTTTCCTGGGTCAAAAATATTTCCAGGCGATTTTGTCCCGGTCACATGAGATGTGTAGATTGCACGCACATTTCTAGCCTTTCCCCTCAGGAGCTAGCCCAGGTCTCCGCAGTTTCCTACAGAAATCCACTCTCTTCCGCTCAAAAATAAATCCGCTAATCGCATCCCTTATCACCACCGTCCCATTTACTGAGAAATCTTACATTTCGATAGCTCCCAAAATTCACTAAGCTTGGGCACTTGGCTATAACTTTGCATCCCTGAAAATAAATTAGAAAATTTGCCTCCAGTAAGCATGCAAGAACGAGGGCAGGGCTTTGAGACTGCCACTTGTTTGGCGGGTGACAGGGTCCGCTGGGGGCAGAGTCGTTTACACACAAGTGAGTGGCTCTGTAATGAGCAGGAGAAACAGTCAAGTCCCATCTGGGACTATCTGTAGTCACGCATCAGGAGAATATCTGTAGTCACCTATTCCGCCCGGGGCCCCAAATGCGCCACCAGCAGTGTCGCCCCGTTATTTTCATTGTCTCAGGTGTCCAGAGGATGATGAGCAGGTCTTTGAAGTTGTTAGTGGGATTAATGGGTACAGTAAACTGGGCTAGACATCTGGTTTGAATTAGGAAAAAGTATTGATTAATCTTTGAGAGGTGTCCCCAAAGCAGAACATTTCCCCTCCTCTTCCAGTCCCCCTGCTTAAGCCTCACTATCTTCGTTTCTTGTAAGTCATGCTGCAGAATAGTGGCCTCTCAAAAACATCCGTGTGAAAGATCGAATTGTTTTCTATTGCTTAGAGGTGGGGTGGAGTGGGGGTTGATCAGGAATTCTGAGATTTGTAAGCGCTGCTTTCTTTAACGGAAATTGAGCTCTATTTTGAGGGAAATTAGTTTTGCAGACTTCGTTTAAAAAAAAAAAAAAAAAACTAAAACTTTTGTTCACCAGCTGCTCAGCTTTTCAGTCTGGGTCTGAGCTGAAACCTGCTGCAAGTCTTTGACGGTAAGAATTTCTTTGCCGATACTTTGGGAATCTAATATTGTTTTAGACTTCGAAAGGGGGTGTTGTTCAGGTTGCACGTTTCTAGGGGCTTTAAGCACTAGCAGGATGGCGTCCAGGACTTAGATCTTAAGAATATTTCTTCCTGCCACTCCCTACGCCCTTGGCTCTTTAAGAATAAAAAGAGGTGGGGGAGTTATAGTCCTCTAATATCGTCGGAATATTTTTTGTATTTTCATTGTGTTTATGGTTTCAATATGTACTCTGATATTAAAAGTTAAAGTACAAAGAGCAACACTAAACTTCCCCAACTTGTGTAGCTTCTCTATGGATTCTGGGTGAAAGCATTAAAGGCTTTATTTAAAGTGAGATTTAGGCAACCACCTCAATAAGCCTAACCAGAAATATTTACATAATACAATGCTGTCAACTAAAGCATTGTGGAAAATGTCAGACAAGACAGACTAAAATTACACATGATCTGCAGACATCAGTCCAAAACATCCACAATGGTCCTTTTGGTTTGCATTACATTGGTTTAGAGGAAGCTAAGCAATTACCAAATGAATGGATTTGAATTTAACCAGAGTGTTTCAGGTAACTAGCAACAAGAACACACAAATCGTTCATCTCCCAGAGCTGCCACTTCTTCTTAAACCTGCCCAGTGACTGTGTTGGATTTTTTCTCACTCATTGTGTCAGATGTTAACAATCTGTCCAGAAGTTTCTCTACAACCTGCCCCAGTCAGTCAGCCTCTAGAACTGTTTCTAGAAGAGAAATTTAGGAAAGGTTAGAAAAGGAGGAAGTCATTGCAAAGGCATGCAATGAAAGCAAAGGTAGTAAGATAGGTCTTTTTAATTGGAGACACAAAACATTTAATATCAACAAAAATTATGAAGTCCAGTTTTCTTATAGAAAACACAACATAAGGAAAATATTTGGAAGGAAAAAAATGAAAGACTAAAAAGGAGGTCTTGGTAAATTCCAGAATTAAATAGGACTTTAATTTTCTCTGGATTTCTAAATATGTATTAATCATTATATAAAGATTTTTAAATATTAATTTATTCAAATATTTGGAATAAGATAGAATATTGAATTTTAAGTTCTAGGTTTTAGAGAAATTTTTAAAATGTAATAAAAACAGGAAAAAAAAATCCTTAGCTTTCCTATAACAGCTACTTCAGTGTTCACATCCATAAAATCCAATATTGAGAAGATGCTTCTTTATTTAATGATATCAAGAATGGTAAAAATTATAAAGTTTATCATAAAATTTCTATAAACAATCATTTAAAACTATATATGATATAGTATTTATCCAATATTTGCAATATACTTGAGTTTTCCTGAAGAAAAGTTATATTAATGCCAATATTTCATGGAAGGTTTCAATATCCAGTAACACATTATAAAGAGGTTGATTATGTGAAAAGGTATGCTACCTAGCTCTTGTAGGCTCCACAACTATAATGATTTTTAATGTAGGCTAGGTTCTTTAAACTTGATGAGTGTGTATATCTATTGCTTCTTTGGCTTAAATATAATGACATTTAAGAGTAAAGGTAGAGGTTTTTTTTTTTATTAGGACTTTTTTTTTTAAGGGGAATAGAACTCATATTAAGCAACACAACAAAATTGTATTTAAATTTTACTTTAAGAATCATGACGATTATTTTAAAAGTTGCCATTCTTCTGCACACATGTGACATGAGTTATCATGGTACTTCAAATATTTAAAATTAAATAGGAAATTTTACTTTGAATTTTACCTAATAGGTAAATTTTCCTTGGTAACATATAGTCGTAATATAAGAACTTAAGGGTGGATAATTAAATTAATATTGTAACTTGTTTCTGAAAACTTTATTGAGTATAGAAATATTATTTCTGTTATATTTTGCCAAAAAGTAGCAGCTACGTCCTTCAGTTCGTTCTTCTAAAATAAAGAATTTTGAAAATGTATCCAAATATGCTAAATACCCAACGGTAATTTATGTGATTTATGACGTACTTTATTTTATAAAACTAAGGAATTGATTTTCCCCCGGAACTATGCATTATAAAATTTATGGAACAATTTTGCTATGGTTAATGCATGTTATTTAGTGATTCCATATACTTTTACACATTTTTTAAATGTTATTATTTTTACATAACATTAATTGGTACGTTCACAATAAAACTTGTTGCATTCATTTTACATGTACCAAAATAAATGAACACTTAAAACCTTACTTCTAAACTGTAAAACAATCCAACGTACTTTGTTTTTCTAGTTTCTAGGTCTTCCTGCATTTGCATTTATTTCTTTCAGGAATTAGTGGTTTTCTTCAGTTCAATTCCTGTATACTATAATCAATGAAACTGTTCTAAACACTAAATATAACTCTGCCTAAAGCAATAAGACAGAAAACAAAATAAATCAAAATTAGAACTATTTAACAGATAATCTTTAGAAAGCCAGCATGCAATATAGATTATGACTAATAAAATTAAATCTAAAAGATTGAATTAAAAATCCAAAATATATGCATTCTTTCATAACATGTATTCACACAGTTAATAAAATTCTAATGATCTTTTGTCTTTCTTTTTCTTTTCTATTTTGTGAGGAGTATTATGACTGGGAAGACATAGATTGCCTCTCAAATTTCAAAAACTTCTAACTGGACTTCCTTTTGTTCACCTGTTTTAAATCCATAATTATTTGATAGTTACTTCATAATAATGCTAATAGACAATAATTAATTTCTACATTTTCATTTGCATTCATGTTGTATGTTATTTTTATTGATAAATGTAGGCCTTTTCAAAATTTTATTATTGAAAATTATATCCTTTCCAACACAGGGAAATGTATAGGCAAACTAATTCAAGATAATTTTATAATGAAATGCTCTATATTGTATTTTCTATAGCATTCAACTCATAACCATTACACTTCTATCCACAATTTAAGGGAATTACACCATTTATTTCTCCCATGTCTTAAAAAGCAATGCTATCCTTTCATATGAATTGAATTTAGAAAAGTTTACAAATCTCAGAGAAGAAAAATTGAATCGAAAATACAGATGAGAATTATAAGTAAAACCTTAGTCTTCTGTTTTAAGTTTTCCAACTTGAAGAGTTTAACATAACTAATGTAACTTTGGCACTATGATACGTTTTTCTTGTGTGTTTTTATTTTTCATACTTCATCAAATTGTAGCAAGTTTTATTCTTAAAGTGGCTTTTCCATTTTGAACTCAGGTTTATGATTTGGATTACTAAAAACCTCTGTGTTTTAGCTGTTAGTATAGTTCTCCAAAATATTTAATTGCATGCTCGTATTTTATATGATTCAGACTCAACAAAGAAACACCAGCTGCCTTTTATGTCAACATTCTTTTTCAGGAATAAAGGAAAAATGTTGTATATTTGTATACCAAACAAAATGAAAAGTTAAGGCCAAATACATGATCTCTTATAAAAGCATATTTTTGAGAGTTTAACATTATAATAGTACTTGATGGAGGACAGGTTTTTTTTCGAAGATTTTGAGAGTGATACGGAGTATTTCATACAAGGCAATGGCCATATGGAAATGGATCAAAACAAGGATGAAATGATTAAATGACAACTGTCTGCCCATGTTTTCATTAACGTAAGAACCAAGAAAGGTAACAGAAGGTCAGAATGAGCCAAAAAAAAATCAGAAGAGTATTTAGCAGGTAGAAAGACAGAAAGTGAGATAAGCTTAAAGATATTAAAAATAATTTTAAATTTGTTAATACATAAATTGTAAGCCACATATGATCATGATAAAAAGATTCCAGATTCATATCTTAGTTTAATTGGAATTTTAAAAATAAATAATCAGAAAGGTTCATATTTAACTGCATGGCATATATATTTTTGATAGAAGTAATAATGAAATATTACTAATCTGAGAAACGGTTTCAAATAATTAATATGAAATGTGGATATAGATGTGATCAGTGCTTAGATATGCATAGGCTATTGAATATCTGAAGTTCTGAAAAATCACTGCCTTTTCGTCTTACAAATTTGTAACCTGAAACTCATTATAATCAAAAGGTTTTTCTAAATTGTATCTATTTTTAGAGGATGATTTCTGCTAAGTTGGGTTCATAGTATATGGGAAGGGAATAAGCTGGTTTTCAACAGCTGTTAGTGTCTGAGGAAAAAAAAAAAAAGAAGTCTTGGGCCAACTGCACTCTAGAGCACTTCAAAGCACAAGTAAGGAAATTCTGTACCGAACACCAACCAGAACCCAGGAGGAATACCAGCTCTGAGCTCAAAGGCCCAGGAAAAGGCAATTTCTCATACTACCAGCTAACAGTTGTTTTCATCCACAAAAGGGCCTGTGATCAAAACAAAGCTTTCTCTATATTACATAAGACTGTATAAATACTAGATACAACCTCTTCAACCCTTAGAGTGACTAGAAAAGATTCTTCCCCCACTCCCCTCCCCAGACATGCATTATGCATGACCTTTGTACTATAAGCTCAAAGTTGTGGGACCTTATGTTGGTCCAATTCCACTTCTAACGATTCATTCTTGAGGGTATAAAGAAACGAATGGGTAGAAAAAGAGAACAGTGACTGAAGAGGTCAAAATAATCTTGTAATACTTCATGATAAAATAGAATCAAACTGACAACTGATGTTGAAAATGGACTTTATGAGTAAAAGAAAACTGATGGGTTTTTCATCTAATTTAGGACATCAGATTAGTAATCTGAAGCAGCATTTCTGCAAATAACTTATTAAAGATGATTAAGTGTGCTGGTTAAAGTGACGGTAATGTTTCTCTGAAAATATACTCAAGGTCAAATTAAATAGACTTGACCCATAGTCAAATATAATAATACCTCTATTTATTGCAAACAACTTTAAGAATATTCCTTTGATATAGTAACTATAGAGCAATAAAAATAGCACATTTATGACCTTCCAGGTTAATTATTTTATTCGTCATAGTTATCATCTGTGGGCCAGTACTACCTGTCAACAGCTTATGAAATGTTTGAATTTCTACAAATTTTGTTCTTGGTTACCTCTGGTATCCTACCTCTTACAGTTAATGATGTGATTTGATCAAAGTTGAAAGCTGAGTCCTTTTGGGTTTTAAGATCTGATCATATCTTCATCAGATAGACCCCACCAGGCAAAGGTCTCAGGACCAGGTAGCACCACTTGGAATCCTTCCAGAACCAAAGACAAGCACATAAGTATAAAACTGCAAAAATGTTCACTGTTGCACATGTGGTGATAAAGCCTAGTGTGTATTTTTAGAGAAGAAAGATATGAAGAAGCACATTAGAAGCTTGTAAATGTTATGCACTGTAAATCTAAGGTTATTGAATTAGCTATTGGTGTTTCTCTTTCTGTAACAGTATTAAAGACTTGCTGATTCATGTCTATGTGAACAATATTTTTCTTAAAAAGCAATTGTCAGATCACTATAATCTGGTATTTGTGTCAAATATAGCCGTGGCTAGAACCAAAAAAGTGGGTTATTTTCCTTGTACTGTACTGGTAATTCCAGCGATCAAAAATCGCTAAATCTCAATTTTAAGTGAGCAAGTCCATGTCAGTCTCTCTCTAAACAGACTTATTGACAAGTCAGTTGCTTAAGTCAGAAGTAGGAACCCGCAATTGCCAGGCCCCTCCTTCCTTCTCCTTTTCCCCCATGCAGTCAATCATCAAGTGCAGTATTTACTTGATGATTACCAATTATACTTATTTAATGTTCATTAACTCCATAATCCTCTCCATCACCAGTCAGTACTTTCTTTGGGGGCCTCACTCTTCTTGTTTGACTTATAGAGGGGTCTCATGATCCTGTAGTTGCCTAGAGCATTCCTCCATCTTCAAAGGCAGGGTGGAGAATTGATTTGGATCTTAGCTCTGTCACTTTCTGATTCTGTGGATATATTCATTTCTTAACTCAAGAGAATATTATAATAAACAATTTAGACAATGCTGTGAACATACTTACCATGATGACTGGCATAAGCTCAACAAATGTTTAACAAATTTAAGTTACATCTAGACCTCACTGTGGAACACAGATTCATGTGGTTGTTGAGCACTTGAAATGTGGCTTTTCCAAATTAAGATCCATTTTAAGATTAAAATGCACACCAGATCTCAAAGACTTCTTATGAAATTAATGAAGTTTTTCATTGACTACACGTTAAAATAACCATGGTTGGATACATTGGGCTAAATAAAATATATTATTAAAATTAACTTCTGTTATTTTTTACTTTTTTCAGGCAGATGCCAGAAAACTTAAAATGACCTATGTAGTTTACATTGGACAGTGCTAAGCTAGAGGATGTCATTTAACTTTTTCTTTCTTTTATTCCCTCCCCTTGCAAATAGGTACCAAATTACATATATATCTGTCAAAATGATGTAGGACCTAAAGTCTCTCTGTAAGTTGATCCTCTTGACCCCATGATTAGGAGCTTCACAATGTGATACCACACCTGGAAACCTCCAGAACAAGATCTCAAGGAAACACAGGAAATTCCTGAAACAGCAAAACCCCCTATGTGAAGACGCCTGTTATTCCTTTGTGCATCAGGAGCATCACTGTTAATTAACTGTTGATACACTTAAAAGAGCTTGGTTGGCAATGTCCTTTTTGAAAAAAGAAGAGCCAGGTATGTTATTCAGGATGAACTAGACAATGCTGTCACAAGTTTACCTCTACGTCTTATTGCCTTGGAAAAATTTCCTGCATATTGTGGCACAAGATGGTTGGCTCTCCAGGCAGCAGTTGGCATTGTGAATCAGTCTTCTCAGCATGTATCTCCAAGATCCCACAGCAGGGGAAAAAAGAGGTGGAAGGTCACATGCCTGGTGTTACATGCTTTGAGGCAGAGGTGGTAGGTGCCATTTCTGCTCACAGCTCATGGACCAGAACAAAGCCATGCATACCTGCGAGAGGACCAGAAAATATTCTGAAGTACATGGCTATTTGGTGAGCAGTAAATGTTTCTGTTACAACAGGTTTTGACAAACTTCAAATGTACTCCTACTAGGCCTACTTCACACCACTAAACTCTATACTTCTTATTTCTTGATGGCATCTTATGTTGATGTTTTCTGTCATAGTGTTTGGCACAAAATGAGAGCTCAATACATATACTTAATAGTGCATTTAGATCTAAGAGTTTCACTTTACACAAGATTTTAGTACCCGTGTAGCGTTGGGCCACATCAGGAAAATGTAACTGCTTCTACACCTGCAAAGAAAAATTAAATAATTATATGCTCATCGCAGCTTCAGGTTTTTGTTTTGCTTTGTGTTTTGTTTGCTTGCTTCTTTTTGGTTTATAATTGTTGCTTTGTTTTTTGCCCTTGAGCAGAGGTTCATTTCTAATTTTCACTGGAATTAGAACAACAGTTGTGTCCATATGCAATGACAGTGTTTCAGATTCTTTGGGGATTTGCCCACAGTGTCTGCAGTCGTATTGTGACAGCAGTTGTGATGCCAATCTCTGTAAATCAGACTTATTCCCAGTGAGACATTATATATTTTTGCAGCCAATACTATTTATTTTATAGTGATTTATAGCATTGTCTCTGAAGAGGATACTTTGGTTTGTGTCTTGTTTTTGTCAGTTTTCCACACTTTGATTGTGGCCAGGTTAATTAATATTTTTGTGTCTAGGTTTCCTCATCTCTAAAAAAAACAATGTTTATTTCTATAGCTTCATGTTGACAAATTATATAAACTATGTTACTCAACTGGCAAGTAAATTGATGTATAGTATATTTATAAATGATAGATACTATCTTTATGTTAATTTTTATTATCATCATTATCATCAATTTTCAGGTCCATGTTCTAAAAAGAAGGCACACTGTCTAAAACAAGCTTTGTAAGAAAATTTTGAAGTATTTACATATATCTAACCATTCATTCCACCTTTTCTCCCAAATAACACTCTAATACCTTGAGACATCTTGTCTAGAGCAAGATTTCATAAATGCTTGTGAGGCAGGATAGTAGGGTCTGGAGGCAGGAAACCTAAAGCCAATTCACACTGACTTCCTAGTACTAAATCTAAAGGAAAACCCCAACTTTCCTCACCCAAGCAACAAAAGGATCAGAGGCTATACTCCCTTTGCAACCTGCCCCTTTTCTGCCTGGAAGATGAAAAATGAAACGTACCTCTGATTGGTCCCCTCCGGCGACCTGTCTGACTGGTCGCCGATCACTACTTCATTTACATAGGGTGTAAACCGAGTAACCAACGGGAAACCTCTAGAGGGTATTTAAACCCCAGAAAATTCTGTAACCAGTGGTCTCCAGCAGGTTGCTCAATCTTGCTCCCACTCTGTGGGGTGTACTTTTGTTTCAATAACTCTGTGCTCTTCCTCTGTGGTTTTGTTTGTGCTTTTTGTCCAAAATGCCAGGAATCTGGACACTCTCCACTGGTAACACTTGTTGATCAAATAAAGAATATGCTAAAGATAAATGTGACTTTAGTTATCAACATTTTTAATTAAATGATTATACATTTAGGTTGTACATATTTCACTTGACTTTTCCACTTCCTTCAAAGTAATAGGAAAACAAAAACTCTTGGCTTATAAAACCTGGAATTTGAGATGCCTGACAAAAATGCTTCATATGGCCAAAAGAACTGTTAAGTTCTAAAGAAAAAGCCGTGTGTCATTTCTTATCTAAAGCACTTTGGATAAATTTATAGTGGAATTTGATTTTAGGTTGTACAGAATCTAGCCATTAGTTCAAAAATAATGAACAGTCCTGTAACAATAGAGGTTTAGTGAGATAATAACTACCTGACTAGCCCTAACCTCAATTACAGTGTAATATGCAATCACTTAACTCCAAATAAATGAGCATACTAACAATGAAATAAAATGCTCATAAAATGAATAACATAGAATTTAAGATTTAACATCTATTTACATCATTATGCTTGATTCATATAGTGGGTATATATAAGCTATGCTGAAAATAAGCTCAATGTATGGCTTAATGCTGACTAGAATGTACATTCTTTTACAACTGAATCTCCACTTCTAGAAATGTTTTGTGGTGATTTACAGTACAATTTGATAAAACAAAATGTAAATATAGAATAAAGACTATAGATTAAATAAATACTAAAGGTCAATACATTATAGACTAAAGTATAATATAAAATAAAGACATGAGAACCTTCTGAAGGAGAAGTTTCCAAACCTTAAATATCAGAAGAAACCTCTGGGTTTTTGTTTGTTTGTTTGTTTTTAGGAAACGCATTGTAGCACACAGCTATGTAAGGGCGGTGAGAACCAGAGCAATCAGGATGAGCACAGGTCAGGGGCACCAAGCACCACTTGCTCAGTGATTTTTCCCTTCTCCTCACAGCCCACAGGCTCATGAGCGGCACCTACAAAGAAACAAATGGATCTTGAGACACAACCTAAAAACCAAACACGAATTTCTCCAATATATGTAACACAGCCAGTGAAATGGCTCCTCAAATGCTATGCCTGTGTTTTCTTGGTCTGTTAATTCATTTGATAGGTACATTCTTGGGGCAAATATTTGAGCAACATTATTTTAATTCTTATTTTTTTCAGAGGCAAGTTCTTCCTCTGTCTGGAGTGAAGTGGTATAATCATAGCTCACTGCAGCTTCAAACTCCTGAGCTCAAGTGATCCTCCTGTCTCAGCCTCCCTTGTAGCTGGGACTACAGGTGTGTACCACCACATTCAGCTAATTTTTAAAAATGTTTTATAGAGATGAGTCTTACCATGTTGCTCAAGTTGGTCTCAATCTCCTGGCCTCAAGCCATCCTCTCACCTTGGCCTCCCAAACTTCTGGGATTACAGGCGTGGGCCACCACACCCTATTTTCCTTTATTTTTCTCTTCAGCTGTTTAGTTATAAATTCTTTCCAGTTGTCTAAGTTTTGTTTAACATATAAAGATAGATTGCCTAAAACTATGAATGTAGAAATATTTCTAATGCAGAAAAATGTAATCTAATACCCTTGTATTTATCAAGAGTCAATTTTTTAAAAAACAGAGACATCTCTGTAAGGCCTGAACAGCAAAATGTTAATGAGTGGAATCTAGAAAAATCAAATCCCCACAGAATTCAGAGCTAGAAAAACAGAGTCTAATAAAAAGAGAGTAAAGGACATGAATTACTGTATTATCAAAGCAGAACTATTTATGATCAAGAAATATTAAACTACTGGAAACTTATTTGTAATAAAAATGAAAGTTAAAAAAGATAGCATTTCCCACCTATCAAATTGATAACCACTAAAAAACAAACAGGTTATGATGACAAGGATTTTGGAAAATAATAAATGTTGTACACTTCTGGGAAGAATGTAATTAGAACACATTATATAGTGGAAATTTTAAGAGTAAGTAAAATGCTGACTTTAATCCAATAATTGCAGATGAATTAATATAGGGAATGGAAATAATTAGATATCTCAAATGATGTACATACAAGTATATCTCTGAAGTGATACTTATTATATTGAAATATGTCAAATAAAATGGATTAAATAAATTATGGTAAATCATAATAAGTAGAGCATAACTATTAAAAATCATGTTATAAAATAAAGAATATAGAAAGTCAATCATGATATAATGCTGAGAAAGAAAGCAGGTTACAACCATATGATTCAAATATACTCACACCATACGTGTTCTGTTGTATTTATTGTATATATATTTGATTTCAAAGACACACTCAAAATGACAACAATTTGAGCTTATTAATACTATCTCTAGCTGGTGAGATTAGTGGGTATTTGTATTGTTTCTAACAGTTTTAAAATAGTTTTATAATTTTTTTATAGTGAATGTGTACACTTTATTATCAGGAAAATGCCTTTGTTTTTTCTAAATATTTAAAAGATGTCCTATGTATTAGAAAAAAATCTGTAGTGGCTTAAGTCAAGTTTTCACATGTTAAATAAATCCATTATGTATAGACACAATTATCACATAATTTTTCATTGGCCAGCAGCTGTGTTAAAGGCCTTGATTATCTTTAATGAATCTTTGCCTTTGAAACTGTTGTTTCTCTTTCTAAATAACATCCATTACTCTAAAATTGTATTGTTTTGCTATCTCCAATTTGGCACTAATCCGAGCCAACTCAAATGTGAATGATTCAATGGTCTGCCTCTGAGTAAGGTGAAGCATATGGAGTGCATTATACTTAAGACCAAGAGTTTATACTGGCTGGTTGGTAGTATCTGGGGGTATAAACCAGGGTGTTGTCTTAGACAAATATAGCTATTTAATAGTTTGAGTTATGGTAAACGGAAACCAATTCTTCTCCCAGGTGTAAAAGTTGAAACTGGGGCAGGGACATTTTTGGTTTTTTTTGCTATGATAGGGTCTAATCTTTAGTGGGAGTCAGAATGGCAGCAAGTGTTCTCGAACGAAGGGATGACAAGGAAAAGTTCAGAGTGTCACATGACACCTTCTATTACCTATGAGGCATGAGCTGCTGCAGTGCTAAAGCACAAGTTTACAGAGTTTCAGGGTCTTGAGATTTTTACATAAAATTTCAAATGAAACTCATAGTGTTACTTCTTCTCCTGAGTTGATACCATTTTGCAAAATACAAATATTTAACTAACAATCCAAAAATAAGCACATTCAAATTGCTAATACATAACCAAAGAAATAGTCTTTCCTTAATACTAAAAATATTGCATGAAAAAAACACAGTTTAACATCCATTTGTAGTAAATATCCTCTTCCTCTCCCTCTCCCTATCCTTATCTTCCCCCCCTTACTCCCTCACCTCTTCTCTCTCTCTCTTTCTCTCACAAACGACTTAGATACTGTTATTGATGTCTCTAATATGAAAATACTCTTGGCATAATGAGAGCTTAAACTGTACTTAAAGTCCATTGAAACGTTAAATTGAAAACAAAGCTTAGACTCAGATGGAAGCGACTTTAGAGATCATCTGATTCAATCTTCTTTATTTAAAAAGAATAATTCAAGGGCTATTTACAGCATATGAATGACCTATAAACTCACAAGTTAAATTAGAAATTAGTAGTAATTTGTTAAGAGGCTGTGACAAAATTTAAATTTCATATAGTCAACAAACCTGATAAAATTACAAAGTTAATTGGGCTGTTAATATTTTGACCCAAAATTTCTAAGTGACCTCAGTTAATACATATTTATATCTAGAAGGAACTAATTTGATGATGGAGAAAAATGGAGTTCCCTAATTCATATCAAATTACTTGTATCAAATATTAATATTTTATTGTCCCAGTAACTGTTTTCTTTTTCTTTTCTTTTCTTCTTTTTTTTTTTTTTTTTTTTTTTTTTTTTTTTTTTTTTGAGTCATGGCCTTGCTCCATCCCCCAGGCTGAAGTGGTGCAATCTTGGCTCACTGCAGCCTCAATCTCCTGGACTCAAGCAATCCTCCCACCTCAGCTGCCCGAGTAGCTGGGACTATGGCCACATGCCACCACATCTGGCCAATTTGTAAAATGTTTTGTAGAGAGGAGGTATCATTATGTTGCCCAGGCTGCTCTCGAACTCCTGGGGTTAACTAATCCACCCACCTCAGCTTCCCAAACCGCTGGGATTATAGGTGTGAGTCACCATGCCTGGCCAATAATTTCCATTTAAGGAAAGTAAATAGCAAATATTTTAGACTGGCTATAAATTATTATATTACCTTAAAGTCCCATAATTCACTAAGGCATCAGTCATTCTTACACTTTAAAATAACTTTTTGGTTCATGCCATGAGAAACCATATATATAAAACATTTTCTCATAAAATAATTAGCCTATACACTAGGAATAATTTGATCTTCTCTTTTTTTTCTTTTTTTTTTTTTTTTTTGGAGATGGTGTCTCACTCTGTAACCCAAGCGGCTCACGGCATCCTCTGTTTCCCAGGCTCAAGCAATTCTCATGCCTCAGCCTCTCGAGTAGCTGAAACTAAAGGCACACACCACCACACCCAGTTAGTTTTTTTTGTTTGTTTGTTTTTTTGTTTTTTTTTGTTTTTTTTGTTTTTTTTTTGTATTTTAGCAGAGACGGGGTTTCACCATATTGGTCAGGGTTTTCTCGAACTCCTGAGCTCAGGCGATCCGCCAGCCTTGGCCTCCCAAAGTTCTGGGATTACAGGCTTGAGCCACCACACCCAGCTGAGTATATATTTTTCATTGCAAAATGATGATGAAACTGAAAGCTTTGTGGCAAAAATTGCAGTTATAAGGAAAAGAGGTTCATGTTTCCCCAGGTATAAAAATGGGCTACCAAGTAACTATGTGACCTGAGCTACTCACCATGAACTGGGTGTTATCTGACCACCAACCCATCAAGTTGCTGTGTGAAATAACACTCCATCATCAAATAGAAGTGGTATATTTGTGATCTGGCCCTAGCAGCTGTGAAGGCACAAGTCAGTTACATGAAGAAGTGGCCCAAATGCTCCTGGTCTCCGCTTCTGCTACCCTGGCTTCTCTCTCCCAGCCTACACCTGTGGTCTCATGGAGTTCCCGATGATCACTTGACAGAAGAAGAGAAGACTAGGGCCTGGTTAACAGATGTTCTGCGTAATACTCAGGCACTACCCTAAAGGGGACAGCTGCAGCAAAAATAGAACAAAAAGGCTTAGAAAGGGCACATTTGCTCACTGAGCTGGGACATGTATTGTCTCCTGCCCTTGGACATCAGCACTCCTGGTTCTCAGGCCTTTGGACTTTGACGAAGATTTCCATCATGGCTTCTCCTGGTTCTCAGGCCTTTTGACCGAAACGTCTTACACCACTGGCTTTCCTGCTTCTCCAGCTGGCAGATCGTGGGGCTTCTTGGCCTCCATAATCACGTGAGCAAATTCCCGTAATAAACCTCTCTGTATTTGTTTGTGTGTTTGTGTTTGTGTTTTTGTATTATGTTGGCTCTGTTTCTCTAGATGATCCTGATTAATTCAGATGGAGGAAATCATATCATCTTATCTGACAGTCAATAGTGTATCTCTCTTTTGACCTTGACTTCTTTTGTCTGTATTAAAAACTTTTATTGTATTTGATACATTGTGACTGTAATAACAGGAGTTTTTTAAATATATATTAACATAGTGATCAGAATATTTGACTCTAAAGTAGGCCATATATTTAACTTTTAATAGGTCAGATATGGCTTGGGTTTAAAGGTGAGTACAATAAATTTATACTATAAAATTTCTCATCAACATTTCCAAAGAAGATATCAAGAATGCAAATATATACTACTTGTGTACATATTTGACAATAGTTTCCATGAAACACTTGAATAATTGTGACATTTAAGTAGCAGTTAAGAGACAAGATGGCAACATTTCCTGAGGAGACCAGTCAGCTTCCTGATGGCAGGTTGATTCCATTCAATCACTTTCATTATGAAACTGTCCACATTTTGTCCTTACTGGACAAAACTCAACTCTAGATATGGATTTTCCTTCCTTGCAGGCAATGATTTTGCCAAAACTACCACCTGTATACTTATAAAATGCCTTATCCACTGTCACGATATGCCATACAGTATTGCTTCTGATCAAGAAATTCACTTCACAGCAAAAAAAGTGTGCCAATGGGCTCATGCTCATGGAATTCACTAGTTTTGCCATGTCTCCAACCATCCTAAAACAGCTGCCTTGATAGAATGGTAGTTTGGCCTTTTGAAGACTCAGTTACAGTGCTAGTTAGGTGACAATACCACTTGGCCAAGTTCTCCAGAAGGCTACACATGCTCTGAATCAGCATTCAAGGAATGGTGTTTTTTGTTTTGTTTTGTTTTGTTTTTGGGTTTTGCTTTGTTTTGTTTTTTCTATACTAAGGATTCACAGGTCCAGGAATTCAGAAGTAGAAATGAGATTGGTGCCACTCGCAATTACCCCTAGTGACCTATTAGCAAAATATATTTTTGTTACCATGACTTTGTGCTCTGCTCACTCAGAGGTCTTAGTCCCAGAGGGAGGAATGCTTCCACTAGGAGACGCAACAGTGATTCTATTGAACTGGAAGTTAAGACTGCCTCCTTAACACTTTGGGCAACTCATGCCTCTGAGACAACAAGAAGGGAGTTTTGGTGTTGACTAGGGAAATTGATCTGGACTACCAAAAGGAAATTGGCCTACTCCACAACGGAGGTAAAAATGAGTATACCTTAAATATAGATGCTTCCCTAGGACTTCTGCTAGTATTACCATGCCTGTGCTCAACGTTAATGGAAAACTACAACAACCTCATCTGAACAGGACTACTAATGGCCCAAACTATAAAGGAATGGTTTGGGTCTCCCCACCAGGTAAAAAAACCATGACCAACTAAGGTTCGTGCTGAAGCAAAGGGCATGTAGAAGAGGGTAGTTATAAACACCAGCTATGACAACAGGACCAGTTACAGAAACCAAAAGTTTTTCATGTGTATTTCCTCCTTATTTTGTTATTAATATATTTTGCTTATATATATATATTAAGCAAATATACTTGTTTTCTTTTTTGTCTCATTCTCCTATTATGTAACATAAGATATTTGACTCTATATCAGTATTTAGTATTGTTAATTTTACATCATCGTATTTAAGTTATAAAATATCAGAAGGATAAATATTACTTAAGGACTGTATCTCCTCTTCTCTGGAAGGGATTAGTGGATTTTTTTATTTTATGCAAGATAGTTGTATTATGTAAGGCAGAATTATGGCCTTGTTAATTGTTGTTATTTGGAAACTAAGTATGGTTAAAGGACGTGCATGTGAGTGCCAAACAGACAAGGGTGAATTGTGATGGTGAATGTCATGTATCAACTTGACTCAGCTAAGGAATGGCCAGATAGCTGGTAAAACATTATTAATGGGTGTGTTGATGAGGATGTTGCTGGAAGGCATTAGCATTTGAATCAGTAGAAAGAGTAAAGAAGACTGCCTTCATCAATGTGTGTGAGTTTGAAATAATAGAGTTTATAGGTGGATGTGTTTAGCACAAAGGCCCAAAATTGTTTTCTTAACATGATAGGTTTTAACAATTATATGACCTGCAAATAACACTAACCGTATGCCATAAAGACATTATATTTTTAGTCAAAATATGTCAATACTGGGCCAGAAGTAGTAAATAAAATAAAAATCATTCTATATTTCTTGAAGACAAGTACTACTGATTTATCTGAGTGATAATTTACATATAAACCATGTATATTCTACTAGTATGTCTAGTGCAAATAAAAATTACGAAATCAGTTTAATAATTTATTTCTATAGTGAAAATCCCAGGGTAAAAATCAACAAATATAATTTGAAATATAAAATGTATTTCTATACATTTGTAAAACAGGGACCAATGCTTACTTCAGTAGGCAATAAAGCATACACACATTATTACATTCACCAGCATTTGGTTATAGTGGTTCTTATTTGAAATAAGTGGCAACTGTCTATCAAAACATATTTTTCTGGTTCAATTTTTCCCATGTGGACTTCATAATTTTATTTTAAGTACATATAAATTATATATAAATGATTACTAAGACATTTCAGGTTTGTATGTTAGCTTTAATTACTAAACAGTAATGTAGCTGTGCAAGAAAATTGTTAATCATCTAATAATTCAAGTAAAATAAAACTAGATAAAATTCCAGTGGAAGATCTAATGCGGTGCTCAGTCATAAAGGTACAGACAGATTTTAAAAGTGTAGACAGATTCCTCTCCTGAGAAAACTTGTTGGATTTCTAGGAAGATAAGATTTACACACAAAAGGTAGCTAGACAATAGTATGAGAATATATATATAGTCTTCTGTAATTCATAAATGGAGAGAGGGAGGAGAGTGGGGAGAGAGAAAAAGAGAGAAATAGAGACTATACGTGTTAGAGTCGTCTACAAAAGGTCTCTAGGAAGATAAAACAGCACAAATTAGAAGGGAGTCTGAAATTTCATTTGGAGAGAATGCTTGTGCAGTATTTGAGGCAAAAAGTTAGGTAAGAATTATCAATTGATTGTATTTTAGGATTGAAAAAGTAGTTATTGGTGGCCATGCAGTCCATCCCCCGGGAGTAGGAGATGTTGTATTTGACAGAATTAGAAATATCAAAAAGGATCTAGCTAGAGAGGAAAGTGGTGAGTGCTTATGTATTATGTATTTAATACATACAATTCAAGTGGATGGTTGCATATTTAATATATTCCTTTATTTGATGAGTTGGAATTTGCATTAGAAGTAAGGATAAAATTAAGGCTTGATTGCCAAACGATCATTAAGACTATGATTATAAATAAGCTTTCTGAGATGACGTAGAGTGACCATACAAAAACAATGGCTCCTCCTGGAGGTAGTCTTACTCTCAGGAAGAAAGAAAAGGATGAAACCTCATAAGGAAGGTTTGTCAGAGAAATGATTAGAGAGGCAAGAAGCAAGCAAGCACAATATACAGAAAGCCACGAGGAGAGAAAAATTCTGGACATGGGTGATGAAGAGTTTCAAGTAGAGATATTGTGGAAGATAATATTTGAGAAAGGCCCCAGGGAAGGATGTGGTTAACAGTACAGAGAATGTTTCATCAGAGCAGCAGAGGATCCAGAAGACAGCAAGAAAAGAAAAAATAGATGCAGGGTTTATCAGAAATCTAGATACGAACTGGAAAAAAAGTAATGCAGCTATATAAAAGAGAAGCAAAGACAATGAAAATGTTTTGCTGTTGTTTATTTTCTTTGTCCTAAGAAATAATCCTTAAGAAATTTAAGTTGAAGGAAAGAAAGTGATCATGTTGTCATCACTTGGTACTTGTCTGGGCTCAGTATATATTGAGTGGATAATTGAGAAATAGTTGGAAATGGCAAAAATTATGAAAACAGTTATATTTTTGGAAGTCACAGAAGGTGAATACAAATGGGGAATTTTCTTTAAATGAAAAGAAAGAGAGAGACATACTACTTTAAAAATAATGTGGCCAGGTGCAGTGGCTCACGCCTGTAATCCCAGCACTTTGGGAGGCCGAGGCAGGTGGATTATGAGGTCAGGAGTTCGAGACCAGCCTGGCCAACATGGTGAAACCCTTTCTCTACTAAAAATACAAAAATTAGCTGGGCATGGTGGCGGGCACCTGTAATCTCAGCTACTCAGGAGGCTGAGGCAGGTGAATCCTTTGAACCTGGGAGGCGGAGGTTGCGGTGAGCCGAGATGGCACCATTGCACTCCAGCCTGGGCGACAGGATGAGACTTTGTCTCAACAAAAAAAAAAAAAAAAGGAAAAATCTGGTTTGTTTTTTCCATATGCTGGGATGGTATTGTGGAGTTTTGAAAAAATTATCACTTTAGTATTAAATAATAATATGTTGCTTGGCAGTCTTGGTTTCTCTGTTCCATGTATATTTCTCTTTTTGACCTTACTATTTTAAATATGCTTGAATTTGGCATATGTAGCATTCTCCTTATCTATCTGTAATTAAATCTAGAATAAATAGTAAAAGCAATAATACATAACCCAATTGCTAAATTTTCTGCTATGTAATTCTGTAATAGAAATATGCACATCAAGTTTCTGACCAGTAAGAACTTGGTAAAGAAAGCTAACTAAATATTTGTCTCATTAGGATTTCAGGAAATTGTTATCCAATTTTAGGACATATCAGAATACAGGGCTAAGCACTACAAGTCATGAATTTTACAAAAAATTTACTCTTTCACACAAATATGTAGTTTACTTTGTTAACTTTAAATCACTTCAGCATCTTTCTAAGAATGTATTAATTTGGAATTGACCAGTGAGTTCTGTCAAGCAACACTCATATTTGTTCAAACATTAGGACAATGCATTTTCCCAATATTATCTTACAGGAAACAGGATGTCATAGTTTGAATCATTGAATCTTTACATAGTCTGATATGGCTCATTCTCTCAGTTACTTTATTTTTAGCCATAAACCACTATTCAGAGATACATGTTAATCTGAGACAATGTCAATTAATTCTTTTAATGTTTATGATTATTATATATTTATAATTAAAAAGGAAAAAAATTAATAAATGTTTTAAAATTTTTCCCAGGAAATTACCT